TTGTATCTAACCATCCAGATCTTGAAATGGCGTTTCTTCTGCTATGTGTTCAACACCGATATTACCAAAATATATCGGCAAATCTGCGTTAACCCAAACCACACCCCATTTCAAAGAATCCTCTACCGGAACAGTAAGGGTGAGCTCTGTGATAACGAGCTCAACACTGTCACTTTTGGGGTCAACTGTGCCCCCTTCCTGGCGATACGGGTCCTTCAGCAGCTGTGCACTGACGTTCGCTCACAATATCCTTTGGCGAGCGACGTCATTTCCAATTTATGTACGTCGACGACATGCTTGCCGGGGTATACACTAAGATTGGGGCCGTCCGAGCCATCGACGAGCTATGCACGGCTCTGGGCACTGCTGGGTTTCCATTGCGCAAATGAACCTCCAACGACAAGGCTGTGCTCATCAATCTTCCAAGAGAGCATCTACTCCGAGCCGATTTTTTGGAGATTGAAGAAGCTACCCTTGCGAAAACTCTCGGTATACGCTGGAAAGCATACACCGACGAGTTCCTCTTTGCCCCCTCCGACATCAAAGTTTAGCAATCCTACACAAAACGTGAGGTGTTTTCCCAAATCGCCAAGCTGTTCGATCCAGCGGGTTGGATAGCTCCATTTTTTGGTCCATGCTATGATCTTCATGCAAGAGATCTGGCTTCATGATCTGAGTTGGGACCAATCCTTGCCAAGCCAACTCCTACAAAGATGGCACGAATTCCTCGAGAGTTATGCAACTCTCAATAAAATACACATCCCCAGATGGGTTCAATCTTCACCTAAGGCAAAGATGCAGCTCCATGGTTTTTGCGATGCGTCTCAGAGCGCAATATACACCCGGATTGAACCTGCGCATGAAGTTTCAGTCCATCTGCTGACAGCGAAAACCAGGGTCGCTCCGGTGAAGACCATCTCCCTCCCTCGTTTAGAGTTGTGTGGCGCTGTCGAGCTTGCGGAACTGTCTGCAGCAATCCTACCACAGCTTTCGGTCGAAAGACAGTAGCTTTTCTGTTGGACCGACTCAACAATAGTGCTAGCTTGCCTTAGCAAGCCACCATGCAAATGGACGACTTTCGTGGCTAATAGAGTCACCAAAATTGCACAAGCCACCAAATCCAGCAAATGGTCTCACGTTCGTTCCAAATACAACCCCGCTGATTTGTTCCATCATTTGACCTCGTGGCCAATGATCTTGGTGGCATGGACCAGAATGGCTACAGTCGCCACAGTCTCAATAGCCAATGAGGCCAACTCCTATTGAATCAACTTGTCAAAGTTGCTTCCAAAATTGTAGATCGCTTCTCCGAATTCGACAAAGCAGTCGTGGCCTATATGTACCGTTTTATAAGGCGCTGTCAGAAACCTGAAGTTCAATTTGCAAAGGACCTCCATCATTAATCTTAATCCGTTCATCGATCACAACATGCAGGCGTGTGAGAGCTTCTGAGTCTCCGCTATGACGAAATACAGCCAATCCTTCTTTCTTATGGAAGCTCCCTCACACGTTTCCCCCTTCGTTTCACGCATCGCATCTCCCTCCATGGTGGAAACCGAAAAGTTCCTGGCCGCTTTCGCTCGATTTGTCTCTCGACGGGGGTGCCCCCAACAAATGTATTCCGACAACGGCAAAACGTTCGTTGGAGCTTCTAAATCCCTATTGCGTGACTTTATAGAAGCCGCGAAATCGCGTGTTATTTCAATCTACAGCCATCAAAACTTGTCCTGGCGCTTCAACCTTTCAAGCGACCCCACATGGGTGGCTTATGGGAAGCAGGAGTAAAGAGCTTCAAGACCCTCTTTTACAAGGCCACTTCCTCTTTCAAATACTCGTTTTAAGATTATCCACGCTCTTATAAAAAATAGCGGCATGCCTCAACTCGAGGCCAATCTCACCATTATCAGAGAACCCGGCTGACCTACTAGCCCTTAGTCCAGGCCATTTCCTCGTCGGCGGTCCTCTTGTCTCGATTTCGGAGCCTGAAATTAAGGAGAGCGCTGCATCCATCCTGCACCGCTGGAAACGTCTTAAGGCCCTTAATCAGCAGTTCTGTTTCCGTTGGAAAGAGGAATACCTCAAGGAATTGCACAAAAGAAACAAATGGCAACATCCAACAAGAAACAGTCAGAACGGTGACATGGTTATCGTCAAAGAAGATAACCTTCAAGATAATCCAACGAATGGCGCCTCGGCCGAGTCCAAGCCACGCATCTAGGCAAGGATGACAAGGTCCGCGTGGTAGATGTCCTTACTGCCCGCGGCGTCGTCAAACGGCCCGTAGCTAAGCTCATCCACCTTCCAATGGGTGGTTCCAATGCCACGATTCCGTAGATACAGATCTCTCAACTAACACCTGTGTTACTCTGTGTCTACGAAACTAAATTTTAAAAAAAGCTTCTTGTTTTTCCTCCTTTAGCGACAGGGCTCCACGCCCAGACAACACCAGCCAACCGCCTCGTGGAGTACAGATGCCGGGTATGCCGGGGAGTGCATGCACTGCGGTAGTGCCAACGCTTCCTGAGCTTGAGTCCTGAGAAGCGTCTCCGGGCAGTACTGATAAATAAGTACTGCCCCAACTGCCTGGCCCATGAGCACTCACGACCATCGTGCCGTAGCAATTATTTCTGCCGGTCCTGTGGCAAGGACCACCACAGTTTGCTGCACATCAAGGGAGAGGAGAAGAAACGAGGTACACACCCAGTACCGCGGGCCCCCAATGGCCAGGTGCAGAAGGCCAAGAAGGAAGCTCGCCCCTCTCGACGCACCCCATCCGCCGCGCCCCCACCGCGGGCGCCGCGATTCGATTATGCAGCACCAGCTAAAACGCTGTCGTCTCTCCTCCAGCGCAGGAGCATCAGTGTATTGCCTACTTCATTGGTGCTCCTAGGAAACGGGACGAAAACCTTCGAGACTCTAGCGCTCATCAATCCGTGCAGTCCAACGAGTCGCATCAATGCATCTTCGGCAACGGCCCTTGGGCTTTCCGACACTCGCATCGGTGCAGAAGGTGCTTGTACCGCTTTCATCAGCGCAAAGGGGTTCAAAGGCTCGACCATGGAAACGATTCTCCAGACGGAGAATCAACTTCAGATTCGGACCCCTATAAAACCAATCGAGGAGTCCATCCAGAAAAAGCTGGAAAACATTATCCTAGTGGATGCCGACTTCCATCGGCCCGGCACCATGTCTTTGGTGCTCGGTGCGGTCCTTTACAAATAATCCGCCCGGGTCTGGTACCCAGCAAAGACGGTCTGCCGGTGGCGCAAAACACCATGTTCGGAACCTGCAGCCTGTGACACCAGGCACGACACCTGACCCCCCCTCCCTTCCAAGGACCTCCAATTGCAATAGTATTGCAAGGGGGCGGGATGTTCATTCCGCAAAGTATGCTGCATTTCAAAATGACCGCTAACCTGTAGTTTTGTGGCTACTTCCAGGTTCATTTATGTAGCTTAAGCAAACTACGCTTTGAGTCTCCATATTTTTGTAACCAAATATAGACAAAACAAAAGAGTGAAGCGGATCTTATTATTAAAAGTGACAATACACAAATACAAACCCTACGCAATTGTGGAGAAAGAAAGGAAAAATCACCCCCCACATATTCAGTACATGAAAATATGTCTAAATACATTTTTAACAGGAGTAACAGGACGTCTAGGAGCATTTTTGAGGGCAATGAGACCCACGTCCCTTATAGAGGCATATGACGCAGCTATCCGGGAAAGAGACATATATTATCAGGAATGCAGACGTAAACGTTATGCAACAGACAAGACAAGAACATCGAACTCCAGGCGACACCATATAGTACTTTCTAACTCAGTAAATCTGAACGAACACATTTACGTATAGGAAAAACTGATAAACGACCACTACATTCAATTAATATTTTAAATGAGCACGACGTTAAGAGTGACCACTACAATGCCTTTTAAGATCAAACTACGACGCCAGATTAGCGAACAGCATATAACGAAGAGAACATTATAAAAATACTTAAGAATGTACTTAAACCAAAAAAAACTTCGGAAATCTATGGAACAGAGGATATTTTTAAAAACATCCGAAATGACTTTTCACAATTATTCGCACACAGTTATATCTATAATGTTGTTAGGTGCACAATACTACCAATAGACCTTGTCAATACGGACGACCAGTAAAAAGCAATTCGTAACCAACATATTTCTTCAAATCATAAAGGCAGTGAAGAAGTTACTGCACAGCTAAAAAGACACTATTTCTACCCAAATATGAAATCAAAATTCGCATTAACAATTAATACTAGCAACAATTGTAATATATTAAAATACGATGGACATCCACACAAAGTAGTATACTAGGAGACAGAAACACGTATGAAACCCTTAGATATCATACACACGGACCTTTATACAATTAACGGAAAATACGTGGTCACAATAATTGACAAATTCTCCAGATTCGCAACGGCATTCAAAATCCCTATAAGGGACAGTTCGAACGTTGGAAAGGCAATACAAAATTTTATCCAACTATTTGGAATACCCCAGAAAATTATTTGTGACTAAGGGGCTAAATATTCTTCCAATCTCTACAACGACTTTTGCAAGCAATATAAAATACAACTCCATATAACCTCGATCAAACAATTAACTAGTAACTCTACCCTCTACAGAAATCTACAGAATTGTTATAGATAAAAAGAAGAAATTAGGGATGCAAATTGACCATGACGAAATACTAGCATTCGGCCACCCGACACACCCCATACGAACTGTTCAAAGGATGAGCACATGCTTTTAATAAAAACACAGAAACAATCTTTGAAATCTAGACGAATACAGAAACGAATTATACCCGCAGATCGAAGAGCATTCCAGACAAAACTAACTACTTGATTTATAGCTATGCGGTGGTAGCGGGGAGGTGGAGATAGCCATAAAATGAAAGAAGTTTGATATATATAATAACGTAGTTATAAGTTTGAATAAAAAGACTTTATTTCACGAGAGTGAATTTTTATCAGTTTATTATGTTGAATATCTGGATTAAGACTGAAGTACAAAAATTGGCTTACGCTATATTTAAAGCTAAATAATAATTGGAGTACGTGACTTTTTGCAAAGGGACAGCGGCTGCAGCTTGTTTATGCTAGCGCCTTTCTGTTGATCAGTTTTTGTTTATAAATGATTGTTGACAATATGTGAGCTCGGCTGCAGAGATTCTGTTGGTCAGTTTTTGTTTATAAATGATTGTTGACAATATGTGAGCTTGGCTGCAGAAGGCATTCTGCTCTTAGGATTTTTGCTGCTGTTAGCGTTATTTGAATTCGGATGCAGAAGGCATGTTATTGTTATGATTATTCAATTTGTAAACACACAGTGGGTTATGCCATGCAATGTAGCTTATGAATAACAGTGGTTCAAAATGCTGTTGTTGTGAATATGTCACTCCTCCCCACTAAAAATAAAGCGTGTCCTCACGCGTGTAGGGTATATGAAAAAGGTAAGTATAATAAAAAATATTCTTTAAATGCTAGGATACAATTTTGGTAACATATTTAAATTTTCTTGTTCATTTTCAATTTCAAGTTCAACTGGGAGTTGTGCAGGTGGCTGATCAATAACATTTAGTTTCTTAATAAATATTTGTTTGGGTATATTTTTAAACTTATATGCTAGATACATTATTATGATTAATATGATGATTACAAATACTGTAATTATTATAATTTGGAATATTTTCATTTCTTTAATATTTTCGAAAATTATTTCTTTTGTTTGAATGTACGAAAGTGGCTTTAATTTAGTAATATTATTTCTTACGTATATACTCTGTGTGTAGTCTGAGTTCAAATTGCTTATAGATATCTCATTAAGTATTGCTGAGCAATTATGAATTTTTATTATGTTATTTCCCTCAATTAAGATATCATTTTTAATACAGTTTTGATTCAATGTGATTTTGGGTAAGTTCCATGTTATAAGTATATTTGGTTCGATATAGTTAGTTTGTGTTATTAGATGTGTTTTTGAAAATCTGCAACTAGTGTTAGTTTGTTTTATTATACCTAATATGCATTGGTTAATAGTTAATTTTTTCTTGTCCTTGTTGTATAAATTATTATTATGTGAGTAGTATTTGTATTGTGTTTCGTCTTGTAAAATATTTTTATCATCGTCCGGGTAGGGTAGAATTTCGTATAATGGGGTTTTATTTATTTCTCTAGGAATGTGTGAAATAATCAAAATTTCATTCGTATCTGATCTAAGCCAAGTAGATGTTTTTATGTTAAGTAGCTTTTCGGAATTAACGTTTGTGAGATAGTCGTGTTTTAATAATTTTGGATTAAAAATTCCCAATCTAGTTAGTTGCATTCCCATTTCTAAATCTTCAATATATTCTGTGAATTGTTGTAAGTTGAATGCAAGTAGTTCCAGTACTTTAAATTCTTCTCTTTCTTCTCTTTCTTTGTTTACTATTTCTATTCCTTGGTTGACCGCTTCAATTACATGGTTGAGTTCGTTTATTTGAATACTATTTTGAGCTATTGAATTCATTTTTTCTTCAAGTTCCTCCTTATCGTTGTTATCTAAAGTTCCAAATAAGTATTTGTATGTTGTTCCTACGAAATTAAGTAATCCTCTCTTACTTCTTTTTACTATTCGGATACCGTTTATTTCTCTTTGCAACTTTTCTGTCAAATATTGAATTTGTATTCTGTCCTTAAATTTGTTTGTTTGTAACATTAATTTGTCATATGTGTCTTCTGTCTTTGTTAAATTTATTGTGAGACAATGGTGCTCGTAATTATCGGGTATGTCTATCATGCCTATTTTAAAGAGTAAGTCCTTATTTGATTTAATAGGGTTAATATCTATAAACTGGTTATTACTTCCTGGTAATAGTGTTGACATCATTAGTGCCAGAAAAATGAATGTTATATGTCCTGTTTTGGAACTTCGTCCTCCTGTAAATATTTGCTCTTATTTAATTTCTTTTGTTTTTGATAATTTGTTTTATAATGCTTAATTTTTCGACCTCTGTTAGTCTCCTCAAAATGATCTTCGTCAATTTGTTCTATTTTCCCAGTGGGTTTGTAAGGGTTATGTAATTTACCGTGAATTATGGGTGCTTTCCTAAACTTTGTATTTACTGCGAAATCATTTCGGTTTTTATTAAGATTATTTATTCTGGTCTCTTTTATATTTGGGTATTATAATTAGGTGTACCTGCGTAAATGAAAATGTCAGCTGGAGTTCTGCCAGTAGAGTTATGTTTTAGCTTATGATTATAAGTGTATAAAATTACCTCAATTTTCATGAGTCTATTTTCTTCGTCATCGTCAGTATTTATAATGCGTATTTTTTCATTAATTGTCTTATGTAGTCTTTCTATATCCGCTACACCATTTTTACTTGTTGTTATTTGAATTTCAACTTTTTCCTTATTCAACCATTCTTTCAGGGCAAGACTCATAAAAGCACTGTCCCTATCTGCCTTCAGAGTTATAGGTTTTCCCATGTTGTTAAATATTTGGATGAGTCCTCTTTTAACTTCCATCCAATCCTTGCCGTTAAGTTCAATTACATTTGCAAATTTTGAATATAAATCAATACATGTTAAATAGCTGTGGTTTTTTATTGAATAAATGTCTACTACGTAAGTTTCTCTACAGTTTTCTACTTCTGGTGTAATTTTAAATTTACAAGATGTGTTCCTGTGATCAATCTTAGCTAGATTACAAACTTCACATTCGTTAATTATGTTTTGGATTAAATTTTGATAGTCTGGGTAATAATATGTTTCTTTAAAAAGTCTGACCATCTTTTCGATGCCTGGATGTAAAAGTTTCTTGTGGTTGCTAACTATTATTTCTTTAAATTCTGCATAGCTCCTAATGTCTTTCAGTTTAATATTTGTTCGTAATATTCGAGTTGTTTTGGGGTTCATTATTTCTTTAAAGGCTTGTTGTATTATCAAAATCGGAATCGTATTCTAATGTTTTTCAATATCTGTTTAGCTTTTCAATGTTTAAGTTTAAATATTCGATTTTTATTCTTAATTTTTTAAAATATGGTTCAACTTCTATTTGCTCGGTATCACTTCTAATCATTTCTATTTGTCTTCTAAAATAGTTTAATGGTTTTTCTGTTAAATGTATTAAATTTCATTATCTTCTTCAGCGCTATGTGCTGTAGCTTGTGTGTTAATATCTTGTTCGCCTAGCATATTTTCTTCAATTTTGATGCGTGATAAAGCATCTGCTACGTGGTTTAATTTTCCTTCTAAGTATTTGATTGAGAAATTATATTCACTAAGTTTAATACGCCAACGTTGTAATTTCATGTTGGGTTCTTTAATGTTGTTTAGCCAAACGAGTGGCTTATGATCGCTTAAAATGTCAAATGGTCTGCCATATAAATATGGGCGAAAATATTTTACTGCCCACACTATTGCTAAAAGCTCTTTTTCTATTGTACTGTAATTTTGTTCATGATCGTTTAACGTTCTACTTGAGAAACTAATTGGCTTGTTATCTTGTGACAACACAGCTCCTATTGCAAATTACTTGCGTCGGTGTTACCTGAAACTTTTATTAAAGTCTGACATCTAATATTGGTCGTTATATTAATATTTAATTTTCAAAGTTAATATTTTACTGCCGCTTTCTTTAGGTAAAAGTCATGGTTTTGCAATTTTTGCAAAATCTGGAATGAACTTTCGATAATAACCACATAAACCTAGAAATGATTTAATTTCCTTTGATGTTTTTGGCAAAGGAAATTCTTGTATTGCTTTTACTTTCAATTTGTTTGGCCGTATGCCTCTGGACTTATAATATGGCCTAAGAATTCTGTTTCCTTTTTTAAAAACTCGCACTTATCTAATTGAAGTTTCAAATTTGCCTGTCTTAATTTTTCAAAAACTTTATTTATTGAATTTAAATGTTCTTCAAGTGATGTGGAGAAGACAATAATGTCGTCCAAATAAACAAGACAATGCTTGTTAATTAAATCACGAAGAACGTGATTCATGCACCTTTGGAATGTTGCTGGTGCATTTTTAAGTCCAAATGGCATTCGAGTATACTCGTAATGTCCGTATTTGGTAGAAAATGCTGTTTTATTAATTGAGTTCTTGTCCATCTCAATCTGATGGAAACCTTTTGCTAAATCTATTGTTGTAAAGTATGAACATCTTCCTAATTTTCCCAAAATCTCGTCCATGTTTGGAATGGGGAATTTATCATTGATTGTAATGTCGTTCAATCCTCTGTAATCGACCACTAATCTAAATTTTGCCTTTCCTGAGGCGTCTGCCTTTTTTGGTACGATCCATAAGGGACTACAATAAGGCGACTGGCTATGCCGAATAATACCATGGGTTAACATATCTTTAATTTGCTTTTCGACTTCTTGTTCGAAAGCGAAAGGGTAACCGTATGGTTTCTTGTAAATTGGATTTTCATGATGTGTATTAATTTCGTGCTTAACAATGCTCGTGAAGGTCAAATTGTCACCTTCTCGATATTGGATGTCACTGAAATTTTTCAGTAATTTTAATAGTTTTGATTTTTCTTCAACGTTTAGATCAACTCGGTAATCTTGTCCCGATGTTATTTCATTACTTATTGCGTAATTAATTTCTTGTGTATAACTTTCTGGCTTTAAATATGCTTCGAAGTTTTTTTCTGAATTTGGATCCCAAACTAATTTCCTCTGATTGAACGATCTCTCGCTAATTATTGCTCTGTCATGAGCGTAGTCAATTATGGCGTTGTTTGCCTTTAATAAATTTCTGCCTAAAAGTATATCATAATGAGGTGAAAAATCATGTATGTAAAATATCTGATCTTGCCTAAAGAGTTTATTAGGTGCAGTGGATCCCTGTCATGGTTCTAATCAAAGTAGGTCTTGTATAAACTGGTATATTAAGGAAGTTTTCCCTCATCATATTTATTTTATGACGACCCAGTGTCAATGAGACATCTGTAGCGTCTGTTATTAATTTTAATTTCTATGTACTGGCTTGTCGCGAGGCTCCAATTGGAAAATTTTCGTCTTTTATTTCATTATTCTGAAACTCCTCATGTTGGTTGTTCTGACAACCATACTCCTCTTGTACATAGTTACCCTGATAGTTCTCTGACTGTTGGTAATTTTCATCAACCTGCATTTTTTGGGAACCACTAGTATTTTCTCGTATACGCTTGTACGATTGATTTGGTATATATCTACCTTGAGAAATGTTTTGATTTATGGGGTTATTTATTTGTGCTTGTTGTAAATTCTGTTTGAATTCTTGAGCTAGTTGCTTATTTTGGTTAAAATAAGTTTGGTTGTTCGGAGGGTGATGTGAAAAATTGTGGCTTTGATTATTGTTAGTTATGTAATTTGGGGTAAATTGAGGTTAAGTATTTCCTGAATAATTTATAGCATTGTTAGTATTTTGTTTTTTATTACTGTTATAATAATTTTCCTCATAGTAGCCCTCCATTTGAGCTACTTGTTTTAATTTTGAAATAGTGGATATATCATGTCTTGCGAGTGACATAAAGAGTCTATCTGGTAATTTTTTATTTATTAAGTTTTTTACAGTGTTATGCATAGCGTTTGTATCAGTGATGCATAGCGTTTGTATCAATCTGGAATTCTAAATTCCCTTCTAATTCTAACTTGTCAGTTATAATTATTATCTTAGCCTCTACCTCCCTACAAAATTTACGTAAATTACCTTGATAATTGGTATTATATAGTCTTCGCAGTAGTTCTTCCACGGGTGTTTGCGTCTTGTATTCGGAGATTAAAGCTTCCCTCAGTTGGGACCAGTTGTTGATTTGCAGCATTCTAGGAACCTTCTGGGCATCTCCGGATATCTGGAGCTCAATCGCCCCGAATATGTTGCATTGTTGTCGTTCATTGTGAGTAGAGTACAGTTGAAGCAGGTTATCCATCCTTCTGAAAAATGGACCCAGGGTTATAGGGTCTCAAAGGCTGGCACGTTCCGTATTTGTTGAAGCAATTGGTTTAAATTTTGGTCGTTTAATTTATTCATTGCTGCAAGTGCAGCCACATGAGAGCCATCTGGTTGCTCCATTTTTTTTTTTAATAATTTTAGGTATTTAGTTTGTGTCACGAAATTCACTTTGTGTTGCAACGACCGAATTGGATTTATACGTTGCTTGAATTGTTTTGACACGTTAAGTTCTTTTGCGGATAGCGAATTTTGGAGTTGAAATATATTCGATTTAGTTGTAATACTGTGCACAATTACACTTGTTGATCAGAGAAGACACCAGTTGTATGGATAAGCCTCTCTTTAATTGATCGTATCACTCACGAACTTTAATTTATTTCTTTTCACAAAATGCTATCCTACCGGCTGCGCCAATAACGTAGTTATAAGTTTGAATAAAAAGACTTTATTTCACGAGAGTGAATTTTTATCAGTTTATTATGTTGAATATCTGGATTAAGACTGAAGTACAAAAATTGGCTTACGCTATATTTAAAGCTAAATAATAATTGGAGTACGTGACTTTTTGCAAAGGGACAGCCGCTGCAGCTTGTTTATGCTAGCGCCTTTCTGTTGATCAGTTTTTGCTTATAAATGATTGTTGACAATATGTGAGCTTGGCTGCAGAGATTCTGTTGGTCAGTTTTTGTTTATAAATTATTGTTGACAATATGTGAGCTTGGCTGCAGAAGGCATTCTGCTCTTAGGATTTTTGCTGCTGTTAGCGTTATTTGAATTCGGATGCAGAAGGCATGTTATTGTTATGATTATTCAATTTGTAACACACACAGTGGGTTATGCCCTGCAATGTAGCTTATGAATAACAGTGGTTCAAAATGCTGTTGTTGTGAATATGTCACTATATATATACTATTCTAGAAGCTACATGTCAATGGTGACTCTAGCTCTTAAAACCTAGAAACGGGGATAGTTATAGATTATCGGACACAAACTCGTACTGCGCGGGCACTAGGAGGACCTACGGTCCAAATTTCAAGTCTCTAGCTCTTATAGGCTATGATAATCGTGCGTTCATATATACGGACGGACAGGTGGACTGACAGACGGACATGGCTTGATCGATTCGGCTGTTGATGCTGATCAAGAATATATATACTTTATGGGGTCGAAGATGCTTCCTTCTGCGTCTTACATACATTTGCACAAATACATTATACCCTTTTTACCCATTTTCTATGGGTTCAGGGTATAAAAAACGGATTAAAAAGCATCTCATAAACACAGCACAGAATACAATACAATTGCAATTGCAATGCTGTTGATAAAATTCAATAAGGACGTGCCAGTTTATGTGTGTCTACAAGTATACACAAAGTCTTGTAATTTGCGCTACTTGCCGCTAACGCATGGCCAGCCAAAATCGTTTACTTGGAAACGGGGCATCTTATCGATTATCGGAAACAAACTCCTACGTGCGGTAGGAGGACCTAAGTTGCAAATTTCAAGTCTCTAGCTCTTATAGGTTCTGATGTCCTTGCATTCATGCATACGGACGGACAGACGGACCGGCCTTCGGGCATGGCTAGATCGACTCGGCTATTTATGCTGATAAAGAATATACATACTATATTGGATCGGAGATGCTTCTGCCTGTTACATACATTTGCACAAATACATTACACCCCTTTTACCCATGGCTTAATGGCTTAAGATCTATAATTGAAACCATATCAGGTAATATGAATGCTGAAGATAGCAATAGAATGCTGAAGAAAGCAGTAGAATAGACAAACATATTCAAATATTAATGGAACAGAATTAAAACTATACTAATAAAATAAAAGTACAAGAAGAGTTCTCTTCGGATTTAGTGCACTGTTTATTTTGTGCTTACTAATTTTGGTTTTGGCTTGCGATGGCATAACTATTTAAACTGGTGTTTGGGAAATTGAATTTTGCTGACAGTTTCTCCTGATCCTACGATTGTTATTTTGATTAATTTGGGGGTTATTAGCTTTCGCCCAATCGGATACACTATTTGTATATAACCCCTCCCTATTTGCTACTTATTTAAGTTTTTGTGTCGACGTAATGTCGTATCTACCTAATATCATGAAATGCCTGTCGGGTAATTATTTTGTGACTGTAAGGACTGTATAGTTGTAAGGACGATAGGGGGCACGAAGATGGCGCTTTCGAATATTGAACCATTAATGTGCGGATATAGTTACAGTGTGCTATGCTCAGATATGGGCAATGGTCTATATAGGTAACGGATATGATGGTCGAACTCTCAGCAGATAGATGTAATTGCAAGCTGCCAAAAATAGGTTTTTTTTTTGTCGGTGACCGAAAATTAAGCATGAAACTTTATCTTGACGAAAACCAAAGCTTGGGGTCCCAATTTGAACCTCGTAGGGCAAAAGGCAGAAATTGATTCTAAGCTGACTCAATGCGACCCTGTCTATTAATATACTACGGAGACCAGATGACAGAGGAGTATTCAAGGATACGGCGTACAAGATAAGGGTATAGAAGTTTGGTTATGAAGGGATCATAAGACTCTTTAGACCAACGTTTTATAAACCAAAAACACCTTTGACCTCATTAACGCTGGTAGCTATATGAAGATTGAAGCAGAGCTTAGAATAAAATAGAACGCCTAGGTCCTTAACTCTAAGTATGCGTTGCAATGGCGTACATGGGCATATGACATAACAAAGGGGTGATCGTTTATTAAAAGAGTAAAGAGTAATGGTCTAAGATGACTACCTTGAGGAACACCAGAAGTGACGTGCACCTGTTTCGAGGTAGTCAACCTCAGCATTACTCTTTAGGTCCTACATTTTAAATACGATGATATCCACAGCAAAAGAGACGGAGAGAAACTTAAGCGGTCACTTTTAAGGAGTACAAGTTCATGATGCACAGAGTCCAACGCCTTACTGAAGTAAGTGTAAATGACATTAGTTTGCGTTCTCGAAAGAAAAAAATCATTTACCAAGGAAGTAAATTCAAGCAGGCTGGTCGTAGTTGACCGATTCTTTATGAATCCATGTTGAACAGGGGAAATAACTGATTTGCAGAAATTCTGCAAAGTCGATGTGATAATTTTTCTAATAATTTAGGGATAGCGGACAGTTTTGCTATACCCCTGTAATATTTTATATCAGACTTTCCACCTTTCTTGTGAAGAGGAATGATATAAGAATCTTTTTAAAGAGATAGAAAGACAGAAGATTCACGGGAATCTATCAATTTTGCAAAGGACGAAGAAGGAAAGCAGTACACTCCTTGAGTAGACAACGAGGAATATTGGCAGGCCGAGACGAGTTTGAGTTTTTAGCAGAAAGGAGAGAGGAATGGTAAATAATAGGAGCAATTATAGAACTAGACGAAGAAATATTATAAGGGAAAGAATTATTATTAGAACAGAGAGGGGAGTAAGTTGATTGGAAAAAATCAGCAAAGAGGCTAGCATTGCTAGCTTTATCTATCCCTAGAGAAAATGAAGATGGAAAATTAAAGATTTACGCTTCAAGTTTGGAAAATTTTAAAACTGTCTCTGTGTGTTTGTGCATATTGCTTTTTGCAACTAGTAAGGTAATTCTCAGTCCGGGATTAATCCAGGGTGGCTTAGAAGAAGCCCTCGAAGGGATTGAGATGAGAATAAATTCATCGAAGAGGGAATTCAGGGTGTTATAAAATAAAGTTAAGAGCAATATTCAATTCAATCGAGTCATATAAAAAAGACCAGTCAGTTGCATGAATACGTTGATTAAGCAAGGAGCAAGTCTCCTTTGCCAAAGCAAGCTTATTTGTTGTTGGTGAATAGGATATAAGAGGATTGTAATTGAACATTGCAACCTCTAAGGTATGATATACATCTTCAGAAACAGATAAAGGAGGGCACCTGGACACATCACCCATAAGGCAATCGTTATTTTTTATAAATTCGATTTACCTGTTATAATAATTAATTGTTCTTTCAGTTATGGATATATGACTTTGACTTTCTTCTTGAGCACTATGTATAATTGCCACCATACTGTTAGGAGCTTCCCCTATTCAATTTTCTTCTAACTTTTTTTCGAGATACTGCATCGGCAATATGATTTTGTTTCCCTGGTACATATTTGATTCGGAAATCAAACTCATTTAGCTTGATTCGCCACCTCTGGAATTTCATGTTTGGTACTTTTATATTATGAGGCCAAACTAAGGTTCTGTGATCACGAAGAATTTCGAATGTTCTTCCATAAATATAGGACTTGAACTGATTAGTGCCCCGGACACTAGCTAAAAGTAGTTCCTCTATTCATGTTATGTTCGTTTAGGGTTCTACTGGCATAACAGACTGGTCTATGATATTGCAATAACACTGCACCTACAGCGCTATTACTCGTATCAGTAAATTTAATATCGGAACAGACATAATTAATACTTTTAATTGTTCAAATGCTCATTTATATAATATATTGGTGGTGTGAATTGTTGCACCTTTCTCTCTTTTATTTTAATATCATTGGTTTGCCTATTTTAGCAAAGCTGGGGATAATTTTCTATAAACCGCAAAGTCCAAGAAATGATATTACTTTTTTAACCCAAATGGCTATACGAATACACTCGATTTGTCATGTCTATTTTTTGTTGAAAAGACTAATTTGGCTAGTGAGATTACTGCCATTTGAATTTGATGGAAACCTTTTCAAGATCAATGATAGTGAAACATTAGCAATTACCTAATCACCAAAATTTCAACCATGACCGGTATAGGTTATTTATCATCAATTGTTGTTTCATTAAGATTTCGATAGTCAATTACCATTCGAAATTTTATTTTCATGATGCATTACTTCTCGTTGGTACAATCCGAATTGGTGAGCAATAAAGAGATTTTGATTTTCGTTTTGTCACTTTCGCGATACTGTTTGTCACAACACTTGTGTAGCACTTTTTTTTTAAATCTTTTTTCT